TCCACTGCTACCAGGTGCAGCACCTAGACCATTATCTACTGAGGGAAAGAAAAACAAAACAAAACAAAGACAGCAAAAAGAATGTTGCTCCCCCTAATCATATAGAAAAATGGAGATGTATGGAGACATATTGCCTGGCCATCTCAACAGGACATGAACACTCCCTCAGAGCTCATGCAGTGATTCACACCTCTGCCTCAAAACTACAACTTCTCACTTGTAACTGTCTTCTGTGGACAGAATTATGTGAAGAAAACAAAACAAAACAAAAAGAGATCACAACAACATATCCATATTACACCCACAAATATCTAAATTCTGGTATTCACACTATTACCTGTTTCACACTTTAGAATCAAATGTGGAGGAAGAGGTCCACCCGAAGAAGAACTGGAACCAGGAACATCTCCAGCTGCTTCAGGCATCAGTCTGGCAGGAGTAGCGCCACCTACTGGCTAGAGAAGAAAATGAAGGGAAATATCAACACCTTTGTACAGAGTATTTTCAGTCTTTAGCTTGAAAACTCTAGGCAACATAAAAGGCTCACGCATCATTATGCAATAGCAACAGGTAAACCTCTCTTTAAATATGACAGGAATGCACATGACGAATACCTGGCTTTTAGTGGGTATTCCTTAACTGAATTCTTAACCAGCAAGTACCAGCAAGTAGCCTTAACTTAAAGTTAAGCAATCACAAAAACAATCGCAGGATCAGGCATGGAAAAAACAATAGATATGGTCCAAATCTGATATCTAGCGCAGCATTTCAATCAAAGATTAGTTTTTGGTATGGAGAAAAGTGCAGCTTACCCCAAAAGTAGGGATTTCTTCAGTCTTCATTTCATTCACTCGAACCAAGTAATTGACAAAGTCCCGAGCAGCATTGCTCTGCGCATCTTTCTTGTTAGTAGAATTGCCCATGCCAATGTAGTTAAAGCCTTCCACTCGAACCTGCAAATTAAAATACAGACCTGTAATAAATACAAGTGAAAGTGTCTTGAAAAGACAAAGTTATTCTTCCTACAGCTCTTTGAGGTATAACTTGTGGCCAGAAAATATTTTATATCTATTAATGTCAGCAGGCCATTCTCAAGAGAATGAGTATTTTCCAAAACCTTGTCAAAGAAAATCAATTAACGTAGAAAGGACCACTTCGAGGAAGCAGCAGCAAATTCTCCAGCCTTTCCCTAGCCTATCTCAAACAACAGAGACAGAAGCGAGCTCGTGTGTCCTCTACTGCACCTCCATGTTGTTATAGCGAGCAAGTCCATACGCACTTCACAAACTTGGAGCCACAGTTTAAAACATCTTTCTATCCTGCTAGGTTATCTGAGAAGCTGCTACAAATTTTAAGTACACCACAGAAACCTTTTTGTATTTCAAACTAACCAGACATTTTATAGCTACTTTTCTGCTACCACTTCCCTTCATCTTAAAGTTATTTTCCATCCTTACATGTTTACGTTCAGCATCATCACTAGTTTCCCCAAACTTTGGATTTTTATTATAGAAGTGCAAACTAACTAAAACACTCTCTTTTCTGCATGAAACAAAAGTCTATTTACATAAGAGAAAAGAAGAGCATCTCCATCAGGTAAGAGGAAGGAGAATACAGGGATCCTCATTCTGATCACAAGTAGAATATACTCAAAGGGGAGGGGAAAAAAGGGACATAATCATTAACCTCTAGAGGAGGTTCTGCCAGAAAATGGAAAAGCCCAAGAAATTTGGAAGTACTCAGACACTCAGAGATGCTTTCAAGGACACTAACGTTACCAACAAGGGATGGCAAAAGGGATGCCCAGCAATAAACATTTCCATGCACCGGCTTGTTTGGAGTCACAGCATTTCTTCAAACTCTGACATGCTGCTCGGCCTCACTTCCAATATCATTAGCATTGTTCTATCAGCTCTGCGCTGTCACTTTTGCTATGGGGTGTTCTGAGATGAAGGACATAATGACAAATTCAATGTGCTTAGTCCAAGTCTATAATTTTTATTTACAACTAATCCATTCCTCAAACACCCTTGGGCTGACTATCCGTTCCTTCTCAGAGACAATGTGAATTTTAAGTTCTCTGGTAGAACATTCAGCACTTCAACAGTCAAATACAGAGCAACGCTGTAACAGCATACAGACCAGTGCAACAGAATTTTCTTTCAATACATTTCAACAAAACTTTTGCAAATGATCAAACTCTTCTGGGCCACAAGAGCCAGCGCACACATCCACCTTAAAACAATGAATCTTTTTTATTATAATATTTGTTTTTCCAGGGTACTCTATGTTCACAAAACAATTCTGTATGTTTTAAGCCTACACAAGAGAAATTTAAATGTGCAACCACCTCTTTATTCTTTCGACTTACAATTACCTTCCAATAGCCCATAAGGTAAGGGAGGAGACGCCTTGCACACCGACTTTCGCCCACGAGGGGCTTCACACTGCAACCCCCTTTGCCCTCCTCCAAGGAGGGCTGCACACCCATGTGAGGCCCTTGAACACACACACACACACACACACACACACACACACACCCCACCAGTGGAAACCCACGCGCTCGGGGCTGCGCCGCGCCGCGCCCCGAAGGAAGCCCACAAAGCCCAGGCTCCGCACCTCGCACAGGAACGTCTGCCGGTTCTTGCTGCCCGCCGCGCGGATCTCATAGTTGGGTGTCACCTTTCTCTTGCCGCACCAGGCGTACAGGAAGTTCTTCACGTCGCCCATGGCGCAGCCGTTAACGGCCCCCCCCCGGCGCCCCGTACAGCCCCCCC